TTGGGGATTAGCGTGAAAATGTTGTGCACGTTGCCCTGGGAGCAGAGGTTCGCTTATTGTGCGAACTCCGTGACTGCGTGAACTTTGGGCCAATAAAATGGAAAAGTCTCAACAGTTAGGCAAAAGCAAGGCTTCTTAACTTATAATTATGCCACAGGAGTGCTATATATAGATAACTCAACTGTTTGTTGAGGTCGCTCTGCAGAAAGTTTGCCCGAGCATTGCAAATGTTTTGATTGGAAATAGTGAAGTTGGCATTAATGCTATTTATAGCAGTCTTTTAATGCGCATATAAAATTTAATTCAATTATATTTATTTACCCATTCATCCATTATAAAAGTAAGCTGACTAAATCAGGCATTGTCTCTCGCTCTCTCGCTGCTTTCCTGACGTGCCACTGGCTTAAGCGTCGCAGCTGCCATTGCAGTTCAAGTGGAAGTCTGCATTTTCGTTGGCCCTTTCTTCTTCTTCTTCTTGCTCGTTTTTTTTTGCTGGCTATTTGCACTCTTTATCTTGGCTATGACATGATTTATATGCAGCTGTTTTATCTGCTCAGCGCACACATAGCACCAGCAGCAGAGTGCAGCATATTTTGGTTTTGGTTTTGGTTTCGGCTGCCACAGTCCACAGGCCAAATACAAAAGGCGACAGCGCTTTACCTATACACACATTCACACAGACACACCCAAAGTTTTGTGCACATAATTTAAAATATGCATAAAGTGGACTTTAAATTTCTGCATTTGTTGCCGCAGCTTATTTCAGTTTTACATACAAATTTTTGTAATATCACGAGAAATCTTCCATATGAAATGCAAATAAAAGTAAATATAAGCAATTGTTCCGGCACATGCAAGGGCATCAAACTTTCGGCATGCCTACAACACTTATTCAATTTTCATGTGACTTGAACATGCGATTGTTGCACTTTGATGTTTTTTACAGCAGCTAATGATAATGTGTTTGAAAAGCGGCCCAATCAACTGAACTTTTTTGCGTTGTTTTTGGCAATTCAAGTGGATAGTAAGCAACAGCGCAAAGAGTTCCAAGGCAGACCCTTCTAAGAGCTGCATATGTAAAATAAAATCAATTTATATTTATGACTTTTTATGCCTTCCATCTTTCTTTAGACGCGCATCACTTGAAGCCAATATACCCGCTTGTTCCACCACACGGCAAGTTGACATCAATTTTTCACCTGAAAAGTTTTGCCGCACACGTAACTGGAACGACATGGGCGTTGCAAAAAAAGTTGCATACATTTCGGCGTCTACAATGGGTATATAAGCCATAACTTTGGCAGCCGGCATGACAGGCAGCGCCAACAGCAGGCGAAAACGGCCCAAAGCGCGCAGTTTTCGTGGTACACACGCTTTGCAGACGGCATATGAATAAACTTTATGACCAGCAGCTAAAGCAGCTGGCCTGGTAAGTGAAGACGAAGCAGTAGCTGTAGCTGTATGTGGGTAAGTGCGGCCAGGTCGTGGCAGCCAGAACACTAATCCATTTGCTTGCCCCTCACGCATTAAACGCATTAAGTTTTCGCAGCGAGTTTGCTTTTTAATTGAATTGTATGGGCGGTGGTTAGGGGTGGCTGGCTATGGGCGTGTTAAGCTAGCTCTTTGTTTACACTTGAAACTATTTGCACGCCCGCCGCTCTATAGAGTCTGTGCTGCTGCCTTCATGTGGAAAAATCTAATTACTTGGCTGCTGTTTAACTAACAAGCAACGACTACTGCCACAGACAGACAGAGGCAGGCAGGCGACAACAACAGCAAAAGCAACAGCAGAGATGGCAGACAGCATTAGCAGCTGGTATCTTTGTTTGATTTTACGACAGTGCGACTACGCGGCTACGTGGCGTATGCGTAATATTTGCGCATTGCGTATACGGCAAGCAGCAGCATGCCCCTTTTTAGTCTCTAGCTGGCTGGGCGTCCCTGTTGGGACATTAAGTGCTTATAATTTGAACAGAAAATGCGCGTAACTTATGATGTTTACACATGACTTACAAATTGTTTACGTCGTTCGGTTTCAGCTTACGCCAAGGCAAATGCACACAGCGGAGGCTATGCACAGACACCCACAGACCCACACACACACACAGGGTGAGAGAGCTAACCACAGATAGCTGTGGTGCCCACGTAATGGCTATGGCCTGGCTGCCGTAGCAGCTGGCAGTCGAACGTAGCAGCTGCCAGCTGTGGGATTTGCTTTTGCATGGTTTACCTCCGGCATGCCCGGCCACGCCTCGTCATATTTGTCAAGCACTTGAGCACGTTGGCATTTGCGTTGCGGCCAGCGTCGAGCTAAGCCGGGCTAAGAATTTATTTAACTGGGCTAAAAAAGAAAAGGGAACATTAACAGCGCGTGCACGGCACACGGCGCCCGTAACCTGGCAATAATCATAATCTATTTTATGATTTATCAACTGAGCGCATTTGCCATAAGGCGAAATTTTTTCACAACTCACGAGAGTTTAAAGTGGGCTCCTCTGGCTCGAGTAGCTATCTATACGCATGCCAATCACAAATATTATATTTGCCATGCACAAAATGGTAATTCATCAATGTCAATCAGAGCGCCTGCCTGGGCATACGACTAGAAATCAATAAATATATATGTTATGTACAAACTATATATATATATGTATCTGTATATCGATGCATAACCGTAAAAGCTGAGGCATTTAATTTGCATTATGCAAATAATTTGCAAGTCCATAAAATCGAAATGCAGCTGCAGCTGCAGCTGCAGCACAAATTCAATTCAGCAGCATTCCCAAGTCGATCTATCAACTGCTTCGCCTGGGCACAACGAACAGCGAGGGGAAAGCTTACTTTGTAAATAGTTGACAAGAGCCTGTGATGAATTCCTTTGAATTTCGTTGCGAAAATAACATTTTCTCCACTCGATGAAGTCATGACAGCAATTAATGTAAATGAGCTCTTGCTTTAGGGCCAGCACAGGCAATTACACATTACGCATACGCAGCGTGGTGCCAAGAAAAATGAAAAAAAAAAAAACAAAAACGAACGAGCGAGCGAAATATAAAACAAAACAGCCGCCGGCTAAAGGCATTAGCTTTGCTTTTCTAGCTGTGGTAGGGGATTGAGTATTATATATCAAAACAATTTATGCTTAATTTAAATTAATTATAGCCCAGTTTAGAGCCCAGCTCTATCTCGTTGTCCGGACAACTCTCGCCAGCAAAATTAATTACATGCAATAACAACAAAGTCGCCGCGCTGACATTGTCTCAAAATCAACACTAGCCAGCAAATTTGGGGGGCGCAATGCCAACAACATTGCAGCAAAAATACACAAAGTGCTGGAGGAAAGCCCACAAAAACCCAAGTTTAAAAAGTTGTGAAGTATGTTGCTTTCTTTACATAATTTTCAAAACTTTTTTTTATTAGAAATCAATTATTTTCTTTTTTGTGTTTAAGCAGAGCATAAAGAGCATGTTGGATTGCCCTAACATGCGCCGAACTCATTAAGAAAACAATGAATAATTTATGCGAAAAAACTCTCTCTGTAGGAACATTGGGCACACTCTTAATTAGATTCCTAGAAAAGGCAAACAATTAATTAACATCTGTACAATTTCAGAAACTGCGTACATTTCTTCCACTGCTTACGCTACATAGAACATTCAAATATTTTTCTATTGAATAATTTAATATGCGTTGAAGCGTAAACGCATTTGCAATTACCTTGCCCCATTGTTATGCGCAAATTAATAATTGTTTTTACACAAAGAACTATAGGGTCTTTGAATTGGTTATAAACTTGTTGACTCTATTCACATTAATTATAAATATAGATATATATATAATAATAATATAAATGAATCGAATTTGCTTTCATTAGCTTTTAGCACTTTTAACCAATTAAAGTTTCATTTCTTGTCAGCATTGAATCAAAATGAGTTCACGTTTTCTACAGTTACATTTTCTGTGAGATATAAATATCTATAGAAGCTATAGCTTGTCTTGTGGAGTACACTACTCATTAGAGACTTCACACTTTCAAATATATTTTTAAATAACACAGAATGTAGTTCAAGGTTATCACCTAATAGCACACTCCTGCTTAGAGAACTTTTATTTTTTTTGCTATCTTAAAGAACTTTAATTGCGGAATACCTTTGTTGCCTATGCTGCTGCATCTCCAATCGATAGATTTTAACCGATCTCTTTTAGTAATCTTTTGCTGTTTCTTAAAAAAAATTAATTTAATAAATATTAAAATTAAATTTAAATATAAATATTAAATTAAATTGAATAAATAAGTAAATTTTTAAATAAATATTTACAAAATATAAATAAATAAAATAAATAAATATATAAGTAAAAGCAAAAAAAAAAAAAAATTAATAAAAGATAAATAAATAAAATATACATGAAGAGAAAAATCTTATATTTTAGTTCTATATTATATTATATTCCTAGTCATTAAATAAATGTAAAGAAGTTCATTGGAAACATATTTTTGATAAATTGCATTTTTTTCAAACATATTTGATATCTGTAGAAGGTAAGTATTTTACAAAAATAAAATAAATAATAAATAAATAAAGTAAAAATAAAATAATAATTAGCTTTAAATATAAGGGTTTGATATCTGAATCATATTTATGATTTTACGAACTCTTCTATACTTTTTTTTTCTATTTTACGCAGGGCAAAAACATGTTGCATTTTTTTCTTAATCTTTTTACAATCTTCAAAAAATATTACACAAATGCAAATGAAAGCAATTTGAGCAGCGATTGGTTTATATATTTTCTCTGTATTCCAAATAACGAACCAAGTTCGATGCTTAAGCTGATGTCGCATTGCCTTATAAATAGTTGAATTCATAGTTGCCAAATGTGTTCTGCACTCATAAAAAATACTGCACTTAAAAGTCAGCTCTCCTATAGTAAGTTACTCTAGTGGGCATATTAAATTGATATAAAATATATAAAAATACTAAAAGAGTTCATTAAACCTACCCGTATTCGGTGCTCTGCTACAGTTTTTGTTGCCACTGATAATCCAAATGACGCGTTTTGTTTATGCCTGGCTTTTAATTAAAGCATTTACCAGCAGCACACACACAAATACACACACACAGACATATGCACTTGATATGACATTTTATTTGTTGCATTCTTGTTGGAAACGTGTCGTAGCTATAAATGTTTTATAAGCTTCAATTATTCAAGAGCGCATTTTTTCATAATATATATGTTAATATATTTATTTATATATGGCTTTTATTTAAATGCATGCTCAATTATTGCCAGCACACATACACACGCACACACTTACACGCACGCACCCCTCTCAGATGTGTGCAGAGAACAACACTTAAACACACTTATGCCATCGATTTATTGCTCTTTGCCATTGGAAAATATTTAGAACAAATTTATATGAAAATATATAAATAAATATATATTTATTTGAATGTGATATTTTTAATTTGAAATGCATTTACATTTTATTTCCTTTTTTTGTTTTAATTATTTATTATCGCTGGCAATTAGGTCAGAGAAGTGAATAATTTGATTATGTTTCAAGTGTTTTAAGCATATTTTTTAGATTTTTTAGTATATCTATGTGTATGTTATATATGTATATATATGTGCAGCATATGTCGCTAAATATTTGATTAATTTGCTTCACTTGTTTGCAATTAAATTGAATTGTTTTTATTTAAATTTTGTTGAATTTCGATTTCTTTCTATGTAATTAGCAATTGTTTGTATATATTTTTTATGACTAAGTAAACATTGAATTCTTTTTTTTTTAGCTTTTAGAGTTTATTGTTTTGTTTGATTTCTTATTTTTACCCTCATTTAATGCATTTTATTTGTATATGAAATTTTTATTTGATACTATTTTAGTTTGTTTTAGTAATAGAATTTTGTATGATTTTATTTTTAATGAAAATTTATTTTTGAATGAATATTTTAGCAATTTTTTCTGTTAATTTTTAATAATTTTATTTTTTCTTATTCTTAATTTTTGTTTCTTTTCTCACGCTTAAATTCACTTTGCAATTTGTTGCTTGTAATTTTGGGTTTTATGCTTTTTTGACCACAAGCCGAATGCTAATTGGTGTCCTAGGTTGTAGAGGCTACACCTGCTGACAGCACCACAAAATAGACGCACAGGTCTGGCAACAAGTTCGGCCCGCAAAATGTTGAACCACACAAAATTTCCACTTCACGAGCTGCCGCAACGAACAAAATTAAATTTTTTGTTTTTTTTTTTTTAACGATTTCGATTCTGATTCTGATCAGCAATTAGCCGCGCCTGATTGAGCATTTAAATTTGATTTGATTTTGAATTCGACAAGGTGCAGCCGGTGTGTGGCACACAATCTACGCGTTTTGTATTTTGACGAGAGTTCGAGCGCAGAACGTGGGCCGTCTGCCTGGTTGTGTGTGTGTTGTGCACAGTAACAGCTATGCCGTTTGACTGAAGACGGGATGCTGCTGCTGGCTGTCGTGTGGCTCTGTGTGGCATGTGGCATGTTGCAGCGTCTGCTTGATTTCTTGGTCAATGTTAGTTATTTCGAATTGTTTGTGGATGCCATCGAGCAACGCGCATGCTCCTCGCTCTCTCTAACTCTGTCTCTCTCTCTCTACACGGACTTTTCGGCTGACACAGTTTCGTTTTCTTTTCTTTTTTTTTTACTTTTTGTGTTGTTGTTATTAAGGCGTCGCTTGTTGTAGTAGGTTAGTGCCTCGTCCTTAAAGTAGCGGCTGGATTTCGAAGCGTGCTGCGTATTACTTAATATGCTTGGCACCTTCGACGTCGTTGCTACTGGTGCTGCTGCTGCTGCTGCTGGTATTTGGATTTAGCATAGCATAAATGATTCATGTGGCGTTATTAAAGCCACATGTTTACAGCTCCACGTCTATCCATTCATCTTTAATTCAAGCTAGCAGTCGACACAGACACACACACAGACACAGCCACAGACATACACACTTGGAGCTAGACTTAACTATTGGGTCAGTGTGATTTGTTCTTGGGCACATTTGTCTGGTACGGTGTAATAAGTTTACGAGCGACAGCTGCAAATTCATTTATGTTAATTTGCTCGGTTAGACCAAGGGCTGGCCGCAGAAGCCAGTGAGTGAAGAGCGCATTTAGGAGTCAACTACATTTATCAGCCCACATGCACATTTGTCAGCTACTCTTCGACATTTTCTTCTGCTTTGTAGTTGCTATCGCCTGTGGCTGGTGGCTGGCTTGTTGACAGCGGCCAACGAGGCGTATGCGTTATTTTAATGAGCTTTTTTCATGTAGATTAGTTTTATGATTGGGCATATTAGTCTTGCCGTCGACTTCCGCTCTGTTGTCTAACAATCATATGTTTAATTATGCTGTCTGTGTGTCTGTCTGGCCTTATGCTTTATTAGCCAGCGCCAGTTGCTTGGCTCACATTTGATTGGTTGAAGCCATAAGCCGTTTAGGTCAAGCTTATAACAAAATTCGTGTTGATTTCCGTTCAACTGAATCTGGCAAATTTAATGCAATCAAACATACTGAATCTTTCGGCTACCTTTAATTAACCTAATTAGCTTGATTTGTTTTTACTTTACTGCTTCGAGCTTTTATAAATTAATTAAGTAAATGCAATCTCTAAATTTGGCTCCAATTGAATTTTGTTTTCGTCGTTTTATTTAAATAAGCTTATAGCAAAAATTTATATGTTTTCTAATTGATAAATATCTAATTGGAATACCTTTTCAAATTTTACTGTAAGTGCATTAAATGTAGTTTTTGAATTATGTAGCTTTTAAGTGGGCATTGAAAGCCTGAACAGCTTAGCAAGTTATGTGGTATTTGGTTTTTTAGTTGGCTTAAATATGGATTTAATTTTAATTTTTTATATGTAAATAATTTTTTTTATTAATAATATTTTTTTTATAAATTTAATAGTGATTTAAGAAGTGATGTAGAGTATTATAATAGAGCACTTGACTTATTTGTATAATTATTTGTGCTATATTTCGCTCTCAGCTTGGATTTAAGATTCAAGTATTCAAAGTCTATTTATATATATCAATAAATTGATCTATTTTAGACATTTTTTATCTACATCTATCTACATCCCTTTTTCTACTCTAGCTCAAACTCTTAATATACATGAACTGATTTCGATTCAATTCAACTCTTATCTAAGCTGTTTTAGAGTATTCAGCAGCCGCTTGCATTTCATCACGAATTATGATGGCTTCGATAATGACTTTCGGATTGCGCAATTTGCCAAATGGCATTAAATTTAAAGCCTCATTAAAGCTGTGCGACCATTGGAAGCTCGATTTATATGCAAACATAATCATAACGACTTAAGATTTTACTTAATATTTAATTTTAAATGAATTAAATCCACAAAATTTCCATTAGAGGCCACATTCCTGTTGTCTACTCAAGCTCCATATTAATTCCATATTAATTCTGCATTTGCAACAAGGAGCTAAGTAGCTTACTGTGTTAGCCAGGCAGTGTACCTTGGCTTACATCCGATTCTGACAAACAAATCCGAAGCACACGCGCAAATTTCAACATATTGCCAGGAGCTCTCAGCTGCTGCCTGGGCAATCTGTAGCACTGCGAGTTCGTCATGGATGCGAGATGCTCGTAAGTAATACGCAGCCAAGTTTTAATCCATTGTGATCCAGTGCACACTGCAGCAACGCCCACGCACACTCGTAAAGTCCGTTGAAATGCGCATTCATAACTCAAAATGGCAAACTAATTTACGCCAGACTTATTATCTCAGTGCCGTGGCAACACGTTGGCCCATCCCCCTGGCCAGGCTGCCGAGCACGCAGGAGGCAGACAACAGTTGACAACGGCATTGGGCGCTGGCGCTGGCGCCACTCTACGCGCGCCAGACAAAAACAAGTCGCGTTGCTGTTAGCCAAAATGCTTGACTATGTGATACCCTGCCCGAGCTTAACACATGCAGAAACTGATCTGCTGAATAAGTTATGCATTTGTAACGCTTTTAAAGGTCTTAGAACTATCATTGAGATATTTACAAATGTGCTCAGCTTACTCAAACAGAAAAATGGCTGGATACCCAGGTAAACAGGCAAGGGACTTAGACAAACTTTCTACATATAAAACACATTTGTTTAGATATATTTCTAGGTGTCCCGAGGTAGCTGCTTCACAGAGTACAACAAGTCGGGCAGCAGTTATATTTTTGACTGTCGCGCCGTGACTGTAGCCACTTGGGCCAATGGCAAATATATTAACAGTTACAGTTAGAGCACGTGCGCGACAAACAGACAAAAGACAATGCAGCTGCGGGCAGGTGCAGTGCGCGGGAGTGGGAAGCGTGACGCGCCAGCTGCCACTTGCTATAAAAAATGACAAAAGATAACCCGCCACACACACACAGCGGCCCCACGTCTCACGTCCAGGTGCAGGTGTTTTGTCATTTTAACGCCACAGACGCCAAGATATAGACGGAGGTAGAGAGAAAGTAGCGTCTATCTCCATCGCAATCTCCCAGGCATGATTTTAGACTCGGCTCTATGCTTTATTTACACTTGAACGAATTGTTGCGCATTTGCGACATCGCCAACCGCTGGGCACCGGGAGCGAAGGGGCGACAAATGAGAGTTTGGGGGCCTGGGCGAGAGGCAAAACACAACAACAGGGCGCAGGCAACAGGCAACAGCCGACTGGCAACTGGCAACTGGCAACTGGCAACAATGCTGACGATGATGATGATGACGTAGATGGCGGGCATATGAGGACCGGAGCAGCAGTTGATGCAGCAAATGAGCTGCTTCTTGATTTTCAATGGCACTCGAAGAACGGCAACGACAACAACAACAATAACGACATCAAATGCGACATGTCACGTGATTTGAATTGAAGATGTTGTCGCAAATGTGCATTAATTTGTCAGAGCCTTGCCAAAATATCCTTAGAGCCTAATGCAATTTGTCCTGTTTGTAGCACAAGCGAAATGCGTAAATAATGAGCATCTCAGACCAAGCAACCAATCGAGGCGTCTTGTCCATGCTTTGCATTGTATCCATATGGAATGGATATGGCCAAGTGAGATGCATATCAGATGCCATCGAACACTATGGATCGATAATTGCATTGTGTGTCAGATATGTTGCTTCACTGAACATAGTTTCTGATAGAAGAGGTCTGCTCAAAAATATGGTGAATAGCTTTAAGTCAAGTCCAAAGAAATCTAAGAAAACTTTAATT